GGCGCGGCCGGGCTGCCGGGCGCGCTCGGCGGCTGCAGCGGCTGCTGCGGCTGCACCTGCTCCTCGCGCGTCGCCTGCTGCGCGGCCGAGCCGCCGCCGCTCTTGAGGTGGGGGTGGGAGTGTGGGTGGGGGTGGTGGTGTGGCCCCGAGTCGCCTTGGTCATGCGAGGGCAGGCGGCCGCGCAGCTCCTGGCAATCTTTGTTTGACTGCGGCGTGTCTTGCGCGCCGCACGACATTGGCGTGTCCGCCGCCGCGCTGCCGCTGCTGCTGCCGCCGCTGCTGCTGCTGCCGCGGCGCGCCGCCGGGGCAGGCGGAGGCACCGGCGAGCCGGCGCGGTCGCAGGCGGGTGCGGCGCCCGCGGCGCCGGCGAAGTGCTGCATGACGGCGTCCGACAGGTGTGCGGTCAGTTGGAGCCGGCCATAGAAAGTCTGGGAGACCAATTCCGGGTCTGAGGCCGCGCGCTGGGGCGGCGCCACGGGCGAGGGGGGCGGGGCCTGTTGCTGCTGGTGGGGCGGCGGCGCAGTCTGCAAGAACCCAAGCATGGTGCGGGTGTTTCAAGTGTGTGGGCTGGGGGTGCGCTGGCTTTGCCGTGCTGCGCTTTGGGGCGGGCAGGGGCTTAGCCGGCTGCGGTCGGGCTCTGCGTGAACAGGATGACGTTGTCTGGGGACCTGTGGACGCATTGGCAAGGGTGGGATTCAGTAAGACGGGGGTCGAGGCACGGGCATAGTGCTGGCGCCAGCAGAGCAGCCCATCACGCACGGCGCAAGCCGTCGCTGGCTGCGCACCGGGCCGGCATGCTGCGTGCACTTTTGTATTCTGTCTGCGATCACATTGCGCCATCGCTGGGCACCAGCGCTGCAAGCAGGCTCCCACCCGTGACCCCAGCCGCGTTCGACAAGGCGGGCCCCAAGCGCACCGTCTCACCTCTTTGAATCCTATCTATCTACCAGCTAAAAACGCTGTATAGACATTCCGCACGGCCTCACGACACTGCGTGAGCCGTGCCCGCGGTCCTCTGTTGCTGTTGCTGTCCCGAAGGGATGCAGAAGAGGTACTACACTATCATAATGACAAGGGATAGAAGGTATGACAACGTAGAAATGTGGTCTAAAGGGGAGAGAGCACGAGTGTGCAAGCGTGGTCGGCTGTTCGGCTGTCCGCTGTCGACTGCCAGCCGAACGCGCTTCAACTCCCATTTGATCCCTATATAGACCTTAAGATAATTCAGGAGAGAATTAAGATAGCAGTTAGCGCCGCGGAGCATATACACAGCTCAGGCCAGGTAGATCTATCGCTGCCTGAGTGGATTGCTGCTGTGTGATCTTGCGGACTGCGGACAGAGGGGCCGTAATAACAGCTGCAAATAAGCGGGTTTGTGTACGCATGCCTTTTTGATGCCTGATCACGTCCCTCGTTGCCGTTGGCCAGGAGACTGGGGTTACCTTTGGTTGCGGTCATGTGCATCAGTGAAGTTGGCGCCGCTCCACCCTTGAGTGTGGGCCTGCGCTTGGCTCCACAGGACGCCCAGGTTTCAACATCTCCCCGGCTTGCATTACGACCTTCCCTTTCCTTTCCTTTTTTCTAACCTTTTAACTTGGAAGCGCCTTCATCAGCACAACAACCACGCCTGCTACAGATCCTGTGCCCAGTCCCGGCAGCGGTTTCCAGGCTGCCTGGATCCTTGCCTGCACCATCCACCACCCAACACGCGTACGCGTGCCCAGGATCGTACAGGTCCCCACACACGCGTGCCAGCGAGCCATGCTGTGCCACGTACCAGCCGCGGCACGAGTGCACCTGCATGCCCGGCCGCTGCCCTCTTGCCGCATCAGGAGCACGCAGCCACCTTGCGCCACAATCGCCGCAGCTGCGAAGCTGGCTAATTGTGGGCTGCCGGTTGTGCACCCCCTGCGGCCAGCACCTGGTGAAGCTCAACTCACCGTGTTATGAAGGTGCTATCGCTGCTGTTTTTGTTTTTCATGCTGCTGCTGCTGCTGCTGCTGCTGCTGCTGCTGCTGCTGCTGCTGCTGCTGCTGCTGCTGCTGCTGCTGCTGCTGCTGCTGCTGCTGCTGCTGCTGCTGCTGCTCTGCTGTTGCTGCCGTTGATGCCGTTGATGCCGTTCAAGCTGCCGCCCCGCCTTGCTGCACCTGCACGGACACTAGTGTGTCTTATGTTGTCACCTCATGTATTAAGGATTGTAGTAGCCGCTCCGCAGCAAACATACTGTGCAGCAGGTCACAACATGGGCTACGGCAAAGATCCTGTGGGTAGCTTGAGGCAGCTGGTGGCGTCCAACGTAGCAAAAAGGATGCTAGTGTCCCCGAGAACGACCTTTACAAGGCATGCCTCCGTCTAGATAGAGGCGGCGATCACGGGGCACGTGACAATGACACCCCTCCTGTCCTTTGCATGGCTGGTCAGGCCACCGTGCTGTGCTGTTGCAAAGCACTAGTAGCTGGGTTGCGGTCACGGCTGAAGCAACTGAATCCGCACAAACCTCCACTGCAGCACAGACCTTTGTGCGGCGCTTCGCGGCCTGTGACAGGCCAACTCAAGCCGCCTCTTGCTGGGCCCATCTCGCGTGTCACGTGCTTCATCAAGATGGGTCAAAAACCGGTTTTATCACACACTCGTAGTCTACTGCTCGAAGGCCGTTCCGACTGCGCTGTGCCAGCTTCAGCCTGCTCGGGGAAAGTACTATCTTCCGCGACCCTCTTCGCGTCACGAGGACATTCATTCGCTGCATGGCGAAAGCGATCCAGTCTGCTTTTTGATTTCATTTATCATGCTGCGCATCCCCGAATTTGAGGCCGTCAGGCCCATTGAGAAGCAGCCCTGGTAAGCCTTTCTCCACAATGGAAGGCTATTTCAAGCCCTGAGATTGCTCTCCAAGCACTCACACGCTGCCGCATGCACCTGCAGGACCTGGTACAGGGGCCAAGGAGGTGGGCGCATCCACCAGTCTTTAAATGCAGACGCAACAGAGCGGACATGTGTGGTTTGGAACCGTCTACCGGGCACTGACCACATCCTCGCAATCAAGAGTCTATCTCCAGATGTCTTCAACGACAGTGCCGACGGCATGGTGAGCATGCCGCTGGTGCGGCTTCTGTGCGCCGCTGGTGCTGCGCGCGCTCATGCTGCAGGTGCAAAACTGGACGGAGGTGCTGCAAGACCGTGTGGGGGACGCTGCCTGCCGTTTGCCGCAACCGTAGGCAGCCCTTTCGCACCCCGCGAGCCGATCAGGTGCCTCCTTGTCGTGAGCGAACCAGCCACGTCCGTTGTGCCCCACTACCAGCAAGCAGCAGCTGCGCTGCCGCCACGCCCTCACCGTCCGCCCGCCTTCACCGACCCACATGTTCTGCGTTCGTACTCGGCCCTCCCGACCTGACCCCCGCCCCTCCCTCTCAGGCCGCTCTGGAGGCAGTAGTGGAGGTGCACCGCAGGATCTCTTCCCCTGCGCTGCCTGCCTTGCGCGACATGGCGCATGACGAGGAGACCGGCCAGGTGCACCTCGTGTTTGACTACGGCGGCGAGCCCATGACCAAGGCCATTGCTGACAGCTTGATGCAGTCCGAGGGCGCCCCCAGCACGTCTGATCTGGCGGCCCACACGACGGCGACGCTGCTCACGGCGCTGCGGCTGCTGCATGCGTCTGGCCGCTCGTACAACAAACTGAAGCCAGGACAGCTGTTGTGGGATGCATCGCGCGCGGCGAAGGACTTCCCTGTGAAGCTTGTTGACTTTGGAGCCGGTGAGACGTTGTGGGGGTGTTGTTAGTTGCTCACTCGCGCATGAGTGCTGGGGAAGGAACATGATAAGGCAAGAGGGATGAAGGGGGACCGGGCAGGGAAGGAGGCAGGGGAACATTGGGGAAGGGAGGCGTGGACCTGCTGCGTGTAAGGTTGTCTGTGCTTTTGGTATCATGAGCGGAAGAGCCTCAAGTTTACCGACAATGCTGATCCGTCGTAGGTGGTGCAGCAGGACTCGTCTGGTGCAGCGAGGCCAGTGGTCTTGGTGGCGTTTCAGCACTGCCCCGGCCAGGGTCCTGGTCACAACCACCCTCCCCACACCCGTGACTTGCCCCTGCGCGCGTCATCACCGCCCCCCCCTGCTCCGCATTGCCCGTGTCTGACTTGCAGCGACTAAGCTCGGCTCTGGCGAATTCCGGGGCTGCTGCTTCACCTTCGCTCCGCCCGAGACCCATGCCATCCTGGCCGGCGGCATTAGCCTCGACGACGTCACCAGCGCCGCCATCGGCATCCCCTCCACCTTCGGCCCCGCTTACGACGTCTGGGGCGCGGTACTCACCATCGCCACCATTGCGCTCGGCGACAACAACCCCTTCGAGGCGCCGCGGTGGGCCATCAACGAGCAACCAGACCCTTACGCCCGCATCCCAGGCTGCCCCTGGGAGCCCCAGGACGCCGCGACAGTGCTGCACAAGCCAACCATATACGAGGAGCAGCCCCTGTGGTACTGGCTGGATCGCGACCTGAAAACTTTTATCCGCCGCGGCCTTCACCCCAACCCTGAGGAGCGGCCGACCATTGAGCAGCTTATGGAGACTCAGTGGGGCCGCCGCTGCATGGCCATGGTGCGGCCGGACGGCGGTGGCGACGGCGAGGCCGGTGCTTGGGGGGATGACGAGGCGTTGCAGACTGTGCTGTCCTGCGAGCAGGCACCTGCATCTCTGCTGCTGGTGGTGCACAGTGAGCCGGAGGCTGAGGGGGGCGCCGCGGCGGCCAGCGCTGTCGCTGCCCCCGCCGCGGCCGCTGCGCCCGTCGTGGCCAAGGGGGCGCAGCAGCCTGGTACAAGGATGCAGAGTAGCAGCAACGACGCCCAGGCGCATGTGCCGCAGCTGCGTGAAGAAGGGCGTTTGCTGGAGGAGCCAGCTGAAGACGTCCGTGCTCTCGCAAGCGGTGGTGAGCCCGGCGGGGGCAGCAGCAGCGACGCCAGCATCCTGCTGCTGGCCGCCGAGCTGGCCGCCGCACAGCACGAGCGCGACCGCGCGAGGCAGCGCTTGGACGACGAGCGGCGCGAGAGCCAGGCGCGCCGGGAGCGCCTGGGCGAGATGATGGCCGAGATGGGGCTGCAGATCAGCGCCCTGGCGGAGCTGGTGGTCGGGCTGCAGGCGGCCCGCGCGGCGGCCGGCGGAATGCAGCCGCTGTCGCGCGTGCAAACAAGCGACGGGTGCAGCAGTGGCGAGGGGTGCAGTGTTGACACCCCGTCGTACGTCGCTGCCGACGCCGCGGGCCGGCCGTGTTTCAGCAGCGGCGGAAGCAGCCGGCTCAGCCTGGGGAGCAGCAGCTGTGACAGCTGCGCTTCAGATGCCGATGATGGCAATGGCGTGAGCAGCAGTGAGGGCGTCGGTGCACACGTGCTTAAGGACATGTGGAATGATATGACGGCGGCAGGCTGGGCCTTCGCGGGCTGGTTTGAGCGGGCCCTGGCGCTGCCTTCAAGCAAGAAGCAGAGCTGCACCGGTGCTGCCGCCGCGCTGGCTGCCGCCACTCCCGGAGGGCCAGCCTCCCGGTCGAGGCGGTTCCGTGGCAGGCGCTCGGTAATAGCGTTGGTCTGAGAGAGTACGCCCGAGCACAATGCACACACGCACCCTTTATGGTGTACGCACTTTGTGGCAGCTGAGCACTTGCCATGTGCTGTGTCTACCCGCTTCCTGGGCCTGACAGGCCTCGATGCCTGGGATCCCTCTGTTGTGAATGCAAGGGCCGGCGCTCTCTGCATCTCAACAGCCTTGCACTCCATGACCAGCAGAACCACAAGTGATGATGTAATCCTTTTTGCTGCTGATTGGGCTTCATAGCAGCCTTCCACGTTCTCAACCAGATGCAAGTGACTGGGCACCTGATCGGCCGGGTACCCAGCTCATAACAGCACAGGTGCCTGCCCAACTTCCTGGTGCCTGACAAGTGTTGCGCCGCAGCGGCAGCAGCTTTGTCGCCTCGCTTTCCCTCGGGCATTCAAGGGCCATGCATACCGCTTGCTGAAGCGTGCAGCGTGTCAAGTGTGCAGAGTCCCCCCCGCACCAGGCGATACCGTCAACATCACGCCGTTCTCTCGCCCCTTGCAGGGCGGCTGCATCGAGCCCGTGCACGAGCAGGCGGTTTCGCCACACCACCCAAGCTGCGGCTTTTGCAGAGCTGTTGCTCTGACTTTTTTTTGCGGCGTCCCCCCCCGGTCGACTTCACTTATTCCTCCCTGAAAAGCCAGGCGGGGGAGCGTGCGCCATAAGCCATCACACTGTCGAGCCTTTGTTTGTAAAGCACGCAACGCTGCAAACCAAAAATTGCACAGACAACCCCACACTGCCAGCCTGCTTGGTGCGCCGGGCGCCCTTGGCAGACGCAGGCACCACGCGCCTGTGCTGCGCTGTGGGGTGCGCCTAGCAGGCGTGCTGTGCAGCAAGCTGATGAGTCCAGCCTGGTGGGGTGGCCACCTAGTGAAGCCTACGTCGCGAGACTCGCACACACTGTCCAAAAACCACCCCCAGCAGTTGACCTCCCAGCCTACCCACCCTCCCCCGCC